CGAATAACGGAAAATAAAAAAGCCACATTCACTAGTCACAGGAATGGGGTGCTTCACGCTAAATAAAATGAACGTTTCACGAATCTTGGGAGGTAAAAAGTGGCTTTCAAGGGCAAGCAAAATACCTAGTATGGGGATGTGCTAACCAGAGTACGAACAATATTTCCAAATGTTTTTATTACCTTTGCGAACGAAAATTCAGCTACAATACCTACTCTTAGAATATTACTTTTGCTACAATACCTACTCTTAGAATATCACTTTTGCAAAGTTGAAGATGTTACCCCTCCCCTCCCCCCCCCCCCCCCCCCCATGCACCAAATTACCAATCAAGACGCCTGAAAAACGCATGTTCTCAGGCTGTACCAGTATTTCAGAGTAAGGACGCATTTTGTGACAGGGAACTTTCAAAATTTATATGATCAAATTACATGTTTTTATGGAGCTTAGTATATATTGAGGCGCAAATATCTCCGTATGTCTTTTTTTACACAGCACAAGTCTGAATAAAGAATAAAGTAACATTAAAGAGCTAGCAACGCTGTCAATGTTTGTATGGTAAACTGTATCAAACTTCAAGGTCGAGGGTAAATATAATGCTTTCTATAATAAATATCAAGGCGAAGTTTTAATTTAGTCATTGAAATTTAGTTACTGAGGGTAAAACATGGTAAATGTGTCTTCCCCATGACCCTCAAATAATGGTAATTGATGTTTAATCACAAGAAATAATCTTTATTAAATAACAAGTAAATAAGGTGAGCTTGTCAGAACATTTACCTATGACGACCACTGATGTTTCAGTACGTGTGCCTGTAATCTTTACTGTTATGTTACAGGCCCGTAGCCAGGGGGGGTTCGGGGGTTCGAAAGAACCCCCCCTTTTTGCTGGAAAAAGGTCCACTCTGTGTAAAATTTGACCTAGGTACATGGGGATTATATGGTAAAAGGTCCACTTTTTCAGAAAAAGAACCCCCCCTTTAAAATTGCTGGCTACGGGCCTGTGTTATCAGATACCATGTACTCTCTGGGTTGTGATTTCTATAATTTTTAAGAAGCTCCATTTTCAAAAGCAGACTCTAGGCTATTATTCTGTCGGCACGTGCATTTATCGGTACATTTATGGGTTTACAGTGCCGGGTGTCGTTATTTGTCAAGAGGTATCTGTCGAGACGTACCTAAAGTGTATCAGGACGGGTAGGAATTGAGACTGGATAGAGCTGGATGGCAAAATGTACTATTTAAATAAAAGTAACAAAAGTGTTGTGATAGACAGGTGCCAATCAAACTCATACCAGGAGCGGATTCAGAGATATTTTCTGACAGTCTTCCAAATTATCTTTGTTGCTCCGTTCTTCATTTTTGACCGTCTTCCGACAGAAAAAATTAGATACCCGTGAATGTAAACTTGAAAATCTGACCGTCTTCCGGAAGACCCAGAAGACGCCCTGAATCCGCCCCTGCATACGGTTTAATTCAACTTTGACGGAAGCTGTCAAAAGCACACGACTTTGATAAACGTCAATCACAATAATTACGCAGTTGATAACTACAGTTGTCGAGCATGTAAAGTTTCAGCTTCCTGCACTATTTGATCGACAACGTGCAAATCAAGTCATTCAGTTTTGACGATCCCGTCAGGTAATAACAGCTTGATTGACAGATTATATAAACAAACGTCAATCAAATTGTGATACGGACAAGCAGACGCAGAGACAAAAAATTCCCCATCTGATCTACCAGTGAATTCAGGATCATTCGGTGCCCATTCTGGTAGTTGGGTAGGCCTAGTATAGTATAGTATATGTTAGATTCACGACATTAACTCTTAAAAATAGCTTTCCAACACTATCCATGAATTATTACTTGGAGAACATCTTTACTCCCCCAGCCCCGTAAGTGTCTCACGTTGTCTTCACTAACACAATTGTGTGGATTTTGTGGAGTTCGTCACAATCATGGTTGAGACAGCGTCATAAACCAGACACCGCAGCCTGTGGCACATTTTTCTTATGAACAAAGGTTGTTCACTTAAAATATTCTTCACAGTGGCAGATAGATTAGCTAAAAAAGGGGAATGAAAAAGAGTTTTAACTTTAAAAAGGCCAATACGAGTAAAGTAGATTTAGCAAAGACGTTAAAAAATAATCACTTCGTTTAAAAGCAGGAGCTGCCAGGCCTTATCAATGGATTCTAGGCGTTAACTAACCCTACCCGCAGATCTTTTAGCTCTAACACCCATCTATACCACATAATCCGGGCGAATTAACCAGCACACCGTAAATGTATTTACCACTGCGCTCTTCCATTTGGTTTCAAATACAACAAAACCAGCCTTCAGTGTGTGTGTGTGTGTGTGTGTGNAGTTTAAATAGCATGTCATCACTGCCCATGACTTATTGCGTCAGTGAAATTTCATTTTCCTATACAAATATCTCATACATATTAGACACGTGGCCTTTAACGAGCACACCCTAATGCTAAATTGTGTAAATTTGGTGACATTTGGTGATGTCATTTTAATTTAATGGACATTTCTTTGCCCCTGTGAAAATCACAGAGAAACGTCGGATTTGAGGGGGTACATGTAATAAATGTGAATAAATGGTATTAAATATTGATATCTTCACCGATAGCTTGTATTTGCTGTATCAATAATCATGTTAGTTGTGGTATCTGGAATGAAAATCACTATTTATAACAATCTTCACCTGTGATGTGATCATTTATAAATAAAAGCACATGATACTGAGGGTGGGACAACCTTTTTGACCAATGTTGTATATCCCAGAGAAATATTTTCAGTCCTTAATTTTGCTCTTCATTTATTGCAATGGAATGAGCATCGCCTGTGTTTGTATGCAGATTTTTACGGCAAGGGGCATTGAACGGGTAGAGAGCGGCGAAGTGTTCTGGCTTGACGCCGGCGTTGCATATGGCCCACTTGATTTCCATATTTTGACCATGTCGTGTCGTACACACATCTCATTAAATATATTAATATGGCATCCGCTCACGTCCCTCATAACACTGGATATTTTGTTGAAGGCTGGTTTCATCACATTGCTTTTTAATCTACCGTACAGTATATATGTAAGTTTCAAGAAATTTACTCTTAAATTAAAATAGTTTTCCAACAGTACCCATGAATTATTATTTCATTACTTTAAGAACATCTCCCCCCCCCACCTGTCTCACGTTATGTCTTCACTAACACAGTTGGGTGATATTTGTGGAGTCCGTCACAATCATGGTTGAGACAGCATCAAAATTAAAACATAACAGCCTGCGGTACATTTCCCTTGTGAATAGAGATTGTTTACTTAAAAAATTTTTCACAGATAAACAAATAAATAAATAAGAGAAGGGGATGAAAAAGAGTTCAAGGCTAATAAGAGAAGATTTGGCCGAGACATGAATAAAAATCGAAACAATTACTTCATTTCAAAGCTGGAGCTTCTGGTCAGACGAATGAACTGCACACAAAGATTATCTCTTGTTTATAAAACAAAACAAGCCTTCAGTGTGTGTGTGTGTGTGTGTGTGTGTGTGCGTGCGTGTGTTTGTGTGCGTGCGTGCATGCTGTAACACAGTTTCAGCGGAGTGATAAACTCTCCTGATAGGCCTACATGGGCTGACTCTTTACCTCCTCCCCCGACCAACCACCCCCAGGCAAAGCACTGAGCAATCCGGACCCAGGTACAGTTACAGTTTGCTTGAGTCCGTCATAACACTTTCCATTTTCATCTAACGTGCAGTACAAGTGACGAGTCATGACTTATTACTTGAATAACATCTTTATTCCCCCAGCCCCGTCTCACGTTGTCTTCACTAACACAGTTGGGTGATTTTTTTTTGTGGAGGCCGTCACAATCATGGTTGAGACAGTGTCATAAACCATACACCGCAGCCTGTGGCACATTTTACCTTTGAACGTTCACTTAAAATATTCTTCACAGTGGCAGATAGATTAGCTAAAAAAGAAGATGAAAAAGTTCAATACGAGTAAAGTACGAGTATTCTCCAGTGTATGCCTTAGCGAATATTTAATAAAATGAAATCTTTCGCCCGTGTTCGTTTTTTTGTCTTTTACTTTTGATTCTGCAGTTGTAGCAAATTCGCTTTTCAAACTTTCATAGCAAATAAATCAGTTGAATCACTTTTTTAATTAAAAAATGTAACTTCTTTGGAAATTGTCACCTTCTGTTTCCAGTACGTGGACGCTCGTCTTTTCACCCAGCCAACCACCCTTAATTTTGGATCTTCCTCTCATAGTAATGGGACGGATTTTCTTTCAGTTATTTAGAGGAAAAGTATGTTATTTAGCTGGTAAAACTTGTACATAAAAGCATTAAATATATCATAGCAGTCAGGAGCTGGTGGTACCGTCAACATCTTTTTTACAGCTAATACATTTTAACTGAATTACTAATATTTTCATCTTTTATTTTTTACGATCGTCAGTCCAGAACTATTATTGTCTCTGTAGCAGCCAGTTGAAAACCTTCAAAATGTCATTCTCTTAATTTTACAATAAACATTAATTTTTGTAACCAAAAGAGTTTTATTTTTCTTTCTTTTTAATTTTAATTGAGGGTACCATTGGTGTGTGTGTGTGTGGGGGGGGGGGGGGGTGATCACGGTTCATGGGAAATAAAATCATTAATTTACAAATAAAACTTGAATCATATCTCACTGATTATGCAAATTGAAATTCTTGATAATCACGAATCACCGAGTACAATACTTCGTTTCACAAAGGGCAAAGAATAAAGCGGCACATTCATGAGTCACGGGAATGGGATGCTTCACAGACCACTCTAAATGACATGAGCATTTCACGCATCACGGGGAAATAAAAAGTGGCTTACACAGGTAACAAATTCGAAAATACGTATACCCCGTGGGACACATTATGTGAAAAAGTTTGAAAAAGCATAATAATAATAATAACAATAATAATAATAGCGATTCTTATTTAAAGTCATTTCGGACGTCAGGCAAGAAGCCAGCACATGACTTTTATTTACAATAAATGAAGCACTTTAATAATTACTTAATTCCAATACACCAATATTTGACTTCTGATTTACATTAAAAATTTTTAAAGTAAATTCTTTTTCTAAATCTATTTTATTGAACTTTTACTTTCAATAATTAATCTTAAAATAAATAAACTATACATCGTACAAACATTTAAACACGTATTCTATGTAAGGATTATTAAAGATGTATATTATAGAATGTATAAAATAGAATGTATATTTTCTTTAATTAGACTTAAGAAATAAGCATTAAAATGTGCAGTACAATCACTTTTCACATACACATTTTTTCAAAAACATACCTACACATACATATCCGTATACCCTACCATGCCTCTTTATTGCGTGCTACATGTAACTACTGTGTAAAATAAATACATATAAAGACAAGCAAAGCATTATTTTTTAGTTCAGAAAACATTCCATGTCACTGAATTACAGATGCCCTCCAATTTTTGATTTTCTGTAAATGTATTTATTTACCTGAGAAATTAGTAGATTTATTTTATCATCATTTCTGAAAATAATATCCGATGCGTAAATCTGAACATTGGCTTCCTTTCCTTCCCTAATCCAGTTTTTGAGTTTTTCACAACATCAAAGTATACGATATGTATATCATCTTTTAATTTTTAAGAATTAAACGCATTGGACTTCACTTGATTTCGATTGATGTAAAGTTCAGTAGGTGTGGCAGACATCTAAGCTGCTTAATCTGAACTCAAATTTAGTGAGAATTCCCTCAGAGATGGGTCAATCCTGTCAGATCAATCTTGGTACGGAAACAGGTCTAAGTTAATCTACTGGTCAAGACTTGTATTTGATGAACTGAACCAGATTTGTCCTTGCTGTCATACTGATAGGAATGTGGGCTCCCAGGCTGCTTTTCTGTTGATGAATCTGGAAAATTTTCACAATATTCTTTCGGAAGATATCCATTGCTTTAATTGATCAATATGTCTTGAAATAAAGATATTATTACACTGTAAAAAAAATATATTAAATACCCAACTGCAGGAATCAAAACATGACGCTTTTTTATATTGTTCACTATGCAGATGATGGATTTGCTGCTGATAAAGTTCTTAAGTTGTTTTGATTAATAAATAAATAAATAAATAAATAAATAAATAAAACCACAGGGAGTAGTTTTACCTTAGCTGTCAGCTGTGGTACCATATGGTCTGGAGTTTGTCTGTTACCCTGATCTCCATGACAACAGGTACAGATGATCAACGGTGTCCAGAGTCACAGTAACCACCCATAATTTCTGGTCCTTGCTCACTACTTCCACAAGAAATGTGCCAAAATTCTGAAGAGAAAAAATCAACTTAACAACAAATCTGACATCGATCGTACCTTTGCAGGGACTCTTGCTGAGTGCAAACAGCTTAAGTGAATGACATGTCTCCTCTTGTTTCCAACATATTTGCATAATCAGCAGCTATTTTGTATTCTATTCAATGCCTGCGGAGACACGTCATTCAATTAAGCTGATTGCACTTGGTGAGAGTCCAGGCACAGAGTTGGATCACTCTAAGTAGATCTATGGTATCTGTGAGAATGAGCCCATAGAGATCAGAATATATACACACAAATACACACATCAAACAAATATCTTCTACGCTATATGAAGCAGATTCATTTATAGGCATAAGAGGTACGTGACACAAGAATTGTAAAATACTTTTAAAAAATCAGATATTTTCACCTCAGCAGGTATGGTCTGTCTATAATAGAAGTAAAATTTGTTTTTTCATTGTTCCAAATCTTTTAGTTTGGTTTGGTTTAATTTTTTGGCCAGTCATCAATACTACTGTGTCTGTACTCTTTCAACATTTTAATCTATCAACTGAACACAACCATTTATTAACACTGGCAGTATGAGTAAACCATCATCATATTTATATAAAACCCAAATAGGTTATATAATATTGATTCATATAATATTAATATTATGTAATAGGAGAAAATATTATCTATTAGAACATCAACCTTTAGACATAGCAAATATTAAGACTGGGTTCCCATACCTAGATCAATCTAACAGGATCGATCCATCTCCAAAGGGTTTCTCACTCAATTGCTTTCAGCTTTAAGTGGCTTAATTAGATGTCTGACACACCTACTGAACCTGCTAAACAATAATTAATTACCCCCTAGCAGGTTTAGTAGGCATGACAGACATCTAGTACGTGAAATAATGTACATCATTTAGAAATTATGGTAATAACTCGAAATTTTAATAATTCTTTGAATCCTTTTCTATAACCGATAACTGAAGACAATTTAAAAACTATGCAATGGAATTGCCATTTTACAGCAGGAATTCTTCTAAACTAATTTCATAGTGATAAAACAACAGGCAGTGCATATTGTTTTTACAAACTCATGACTCACCTACATAAACACCTTTCCAGTGTTGACATTATCTAGGTCTCTGAACTCTGTGCTAAAGAGGATCATTACACAACCCTTCTTTATATCCACATAATGATACCTACAGATTTTTATACCAATTCTTGAAATAAATAATTGTTTTCATTTAAATTAGTCATGAGTTTGGGAAAATTATCCAATAATTTATTTAATATACATTTTACAAAATAAATCTTTATCAACTGCCACAATCAATAAATGAAATAACTATTTCACAATTTTTCTGAAAGATCTTTTCTATACACAAATATTTAAAAATGTTTAGCTGACAGTGAGGAGTGATCAGTCTTACAGTGATATTATGCAATTTTGCATTTGCCAATAGCTTCCATAATTTCTGTTAATCACATGGTTTCCTCACCTCTGCTATTGATCACAGCTCCCTTTCGTCCTACCTCCTCTTTTTCTTGGAATTTAAAGACTTTTCTAAATACAGAATCCTTCATGGCTACCTCTGGCCAATCACAGGAAATATTTTCTTCATCATGGACTTGTGAAACATTGCAGCCTGAAAATATATAAATGACTACATTAAAATTAGAACACTTAGCCAATTTTCATAAAAATGAAAAGAAAGGGAACTCATATATCTTTAGACTTTACAAAGCCAAGGTATCTGTTAGAATGCGGCAATGGTGTGTGTGTGTGTGTGTGTGTGTGTATGTGTGTGTGTGTGGACATGTGTTTGGGCATGAATGCTTGTTTTACTTCTGAAATCATATGAGTAAATTAATAACGAAAATATGTTTTTCCTGTCCATCTTCCAAAAATCACCCATTTTAAACTTTAAGCCAGCAGTATAATTATAATTAACTGTATAATTACCACCAATTATCTACTATTCATAACATGGACATTAAAAAAATATGATTACTACTGGGCTTCATGCACGTGCGAGTTCTAAGTCCCACAATGAAAATGCCAATATATGAAATATAAAAAAAAAAGCCAATTTAACTGGTTTTCCAACTCCAGCTGTATTTTACTCCTACGTTTCTTTCATGTAAGTTTAAGAAGAGTAAGAGTTTTTAATGGTCTCTATGGAGGCAGTGCCCAAAATCAATTTTTTCTTTAATTTTGATTATATATTACATAATGCTAAACAGCATAATAACCATCAATTTTTAATAATAAAATAAAAGTATCATGGGTATTCAGAAAATATGACTTGCAAAGGTATTCAAGCCAAATAAAGTTCAAAGTCACACCCTGAAAATGTCAATATGAGAAAGATATAAATGCTTCTGCTGCCGCCAACTGGAAATGAAAATTACACTCAACGAATCACCCATTCTTCAAATTATGTCTTCCCATAATACAACAGCAATTGTTGATGTCACAATGTTCAATGTCTTCACATAATACAACAGCAATTGTTGATGTCACAATCTTCAATATCTTTCCATAATACAACAGCAATTGTTGATGTCACAATGTTCAATGTCTTCCCATAATACAACAGCAATTGTTGATGTCACAATGTTCAATGTCTTCCCATAATACAACAGCAATTGTTGATGTCACAATGTTCAATGTCTTCCCATAATACAACAGCAACTGTTGATGTCACAATGTTCAATGTCTTCCCATAATACAACAGCAATTGTTGATGTCACAATGTTCAATGTCTTCCCATAATACAACAGCAATTGTCGATGTCACAATGTTCAATGTCTTCCCATAATACAACAGCAATTGTTGATGTCACAATGTTCAATGTCTTTCCATAATACAACAGCAATTGTTGATGTCACAATGTTCAATGTCTTCCTATAATACAACAACTATTGTTGATGTCACAATGTTCAATGTCTTTCTGGCAATTGTTGTTTAAATGCCAATGCTCAATAAATTTTCATAATACAACAAGAGATACTAAATTGAATACAATATGCAGCAAAGTTTTATCTGGCATTATAGGGCGGTAAAGTGACCAAAATGATTTTCTTACCTGCCTTCCCTCATGACCTTGGCCTATTCTGCAGGTTATACAGTGGTTAAAAGCTCTGAGATGCTTAGGGCAGCCACACTTTGTAAAGCACATCAGATAACAATACTGTAGTATGGGGTGACTGCATGAAGCTGCAATCTTCCTGGATAGCACATCTTACAGTGTATCATATCAGTTCTCTAAGTCCATCTTCTCCTTTTTTTGACAATATACCACATCTATTTCCTAACACTAAAATTCAAAGAAATAAAATAATTAAAACTTATTTGCATTTGTCATGAAAGAAAATAATTAAAACTAAAGAACAAAGCTGATAAATATACAAACACCAAAATTTTTTTCAACAATGCTAAAACAAGGCAGCAAAATTGTCAAATGTACAGACAACAAGAGATAACTATACTGAAATGAGTTTTCAACACTTTTTTACATAAAACAAAATAATCAATTATCGGTCATTTTTATATGATCATTAAGACAATTGCTGAGATAGGAATAGTACAGAATGGTGATCTGCAGACAATACTGAGACATTCTGAACTGGTTTCCATGATTCATACTCTGCAATAACTCACAATCTACCCATTAGAATGTTACACATTCTACATACAGTGGTTCATCTTACGGTAATGTGCCATGAATTTCGAACAGCTCTTAAATGTGTAACAATTTAAAAATCAGTCGTCTGGAGTTTCTTATGGACCATGAATTTCGACCAGTAAGCAAGTTTGCGCAATCTTGATTTTCGTGAATTTCGTACAGGCAAGATAATGATTGGTACAGTTAGCTTAGGATGCTAAACAACATCGTCATCACCATTCATTAAGATAACAGGAGAATCAATTATGAGTTGCACTGTCGTACTGTCAATTCTTTACCCGAGTACTCAGTGTGAGATAGCAATCGGTAGTTTTGCTGAGGCGAACAATAGCATTGTCAAAAGTAGGCACTTCAGTAACAGAACAAAAGAAGCAATTAAAAACTGCAATAAAGATTACCACTATTTTTTTTTTGTCTCGCTCAGATCGTTCACGATCTCCGGCTTATGAAGTCCATTGAACAAATATGAAAACTACCTTCTTGTTTCGCTCAGATCGCTGTTGATCTCCTGGTGACGATCTTCCGCTAACAAAGTCCTTGGAAGAAATAAGAAAATTGCCTTTCTGTCTTGCTTGGATTGCTAACAAATATGAAAATTGCCTTTTCGGTTTCGTCTAGATTATTATCACTCACGTGTTTGTTTGAAGATGGTTTAAATGACAAAATGTACATACTTTTCAAATTGGTGCAACTATGTGCCAGGAAATCAGTTGTGTTGTCGGACAGCTGCTGGTCAAGATTGGGTTGCCTGGCCAAAAAAAAGTGGTTGTAAAAGGCAACCACACAACCATGGATACCGAGCCCTGCACCTAGGGGTACCCCCCCCCCCCCCCCAACNGAATGTTACACATTCTACATACAGTGGTTCATCTTACGGTAATGTGCCATGAATTTCGAACAGCTCTTAAATGTGTAACAATTTAAAAATCAGTCGTCTGGAGTTTCTTATGGACCATGAATTTCGACCAGTAAGCACGTTTGCGCAATCTCGATTTTCGTGAATTCCGTACACATTAAAATCGGCCATTGGCACTTCAGTAACAGAACAAAAGAAGCAATTAAAAACTGCAATAAAGATTACCACTATTGTTTTTTTGTCTCGCTCAGAACGTTCACGATCTCCGGCTTATGAAGTCCATTGAACAAATATGAAAACTACCTTCTTGTTTCGCTCAGATCGCTGTTGATCTCCTGGTGACGATCTTCCGCTAACAAAGTCCTTGGAAGAAATAAGAAAATTGCCTTTCTGTCTTGCTTGGATTGCTAACAAATATGAAAATTGCCTTTTCGGTTTCGTCTAGATTATTATCACTCACGTGTTTGTTTGAAGATGGTTTAAATGACAAAATGTACATACTTTTCAAATTGGTGCAACTATGTGCCAGGAAATCAGTTGTGTTGTCGGACAGCTGCTGGTCAAGATTGGGTTGCCTGGCCAAAAAAAAAGTGGTTGTAAAAGGCAACCACACAACCATGGATACCGAGCCCTGCACCTAGGGGTACCCCCCCCCCCCACGACCTACCGTAGTATATGTGATTGTAGACAACAATCAGCAGTTATCTTGGCACCTCCAAAACGACTTCGAAGACACCCGACCGGTGCACAGCGAGGTTAGGATGCTAATTGCCAATAAAGGCTACCTGTACGTGTGCCATAGACACCAATCGGCTGTTGTCACGGCTTTAGTGCATGGTAAGGAGCAATGGTAATACTAAGCTCGGCCGCCACAGTGAAAGTTATCTGGCCGGGGTAGACACCAATCGCCAGCCGTCTCTTAGTCCGTCCACTCCAGTTCTGAGCGCTAGGATCATTTTTCGAAAAACGACACTATTTTCCGGCTGCTAGTTTCGCTTTTGAAAAAGGACACTTCTGATAATGATGCTGTTTTGTGTCCCTAGCCAACAGTAATACTTGTTATCTAGCACCTTCAGCCGTACAGAGTGATCGTGTGAAAGTATGTGTATCCCTTGGGTCACAATTACCGACAATCACCCATCATTCATCATGGTAACTCTAAATAGATCGTTGAAAGAAGGTAACATAAGGCCTAGTGACGAACAGACAACTTCTGGTCAAAACTGACCGAATTCCATGAAATTTTAACGTTTGGAAGTTCTGAGCACCTCCATTTCATGAATTACAACCAAAACGATCTTTTTCTCAAATTCAATTATTTTCTACTGTACGAAATTCATGGCACATTACCGTAATTCCTGTTTATCCACAAACCGAAATACTACTATCCTAGTCAAAAGTAATAGGAAGGTACTTCAGTGTTATACATTAAACAAAGTATCCATGTAACTGTAACTTATCTGGATTGAAAGAAAACAGCAAAATAGTGTAATAACCAAAGATTGTTGAAATGAATCTATCATAAAGTCCAATTTAGAAATCTAATCTGGAAGGCTATAAATGACACTATGAAGGTAAAACTTTTGGCATACATTTTTAGGATAATGGAGCTATTAAAGGGCAAAAGATTCCCAATTTTATACATTTGTATTTTATTTATTTAGTAAATTCTTATCTTATCTTATCTTATCTTATCTTATCTTATNGAAGAAAACTTTATTTTGGACACAGCTGCCAGGATGTTACTTATGATTCTCAAACTTACTGAAAAGGTTTATAGGACTGAAGTGCAGCTTTTGTTGGAAAAATCAATGTTCTGTTTTGGAAGCAGTGCTGTTCTGTATGAAAGGTTCATTTTCAGAGAGTGCTGTATGATGCTATATGGATAGTGGTCAGTGTGTAATTTTCACTTGGGTAATTACTGTCTAAATTCAGAGCTATTAAGCCACTTACCTACTTAACTTTCAAATGGCCAAGAAATGAGATTACATAAAACACACATTGTAGTGTCCACAAATATAATTCCCGGACATGTAAATTAATTTGATTAGAGTCGATTGCTTGTGCACTCGACTCGTTTTATGGCCTTACCTGTAGTTATGTAACTTAAGTGGACGTGTGCAATTTGAATAATTAAAATTAATATGTACCGCCAAATACTGCAGCACAGAATCCACCTAAAGATAAGAAATAGGTATAAAAGACGTCTAGAAATAATATTGAGGGCAGAGACTGAAGAAGACTCGAAGGTGACCGCTCGACGGAGCTATGGGAGACGGCTGAGAAGTTGGAGGCTTCACGTATAGAACATGTAGTTAGGGATCATCAACTAATAAACCGTTAAACTGGTCATTATGTGGACTTGGGTTTTCTTTGCGCGACATCACGTAAATCTGACACGAACCGTGGAATTTCGAATTGCGTTATCCACTGAGTAAGTTTAAAACGTAATGTCCTATTTCGAGCCCACGCTTGAATTAAGCGTTCTAAATTATATAAGATTAGGACATTCATCTCATATGTATATGTAAAGGTACATAACA